TATTACTTGGGTTTGATTTTCATGCTAGAGTCTGCCAACTGTTGGTTATTCTCATATTATAGGAACAGATGATAATCCCTGTTATGAGAGCAGATTTAAGCAAAAGTTCTTTAAGAGTGCCATGGGTTTAACAGCCATACTTTAGAACAGTGATTCCCAAGTTTAGGTGCGGTGGCTCATGCCTGTAATCCAGCACTTTGGGAGGACGAGGCAGGAGGACTGCCTGAGGCCAGGAGTTAGAGACCAGCTGGGCAACATAGCAAAAGTCTGTCTCTACAAAAATAATTTTTTTTTTTTTAATTAGCCAGGCAAGGAGGTACGCAGCTGTAGTCCTAACTACTCAGGAGACTAAGGCAGAAGGATCACTTGAGCCCAGGAATTCGAAGCTTCAGTGAGCTATGATTGGACCACTGCACTCTAACATGGGCGATAGAGCAAGACCCTGTCTCCAAGATAAAAAAATTTAAAAAATCACTGCCTTGATTTTGCAATATCCCTACATTCTTTGCTGTGCATTAATGCTGATCTATCTCGGATAAGAATAAAATTTACTTTCCAGAAGGAATTAGCTTTCTAGAAAATAATTTAGAAACAGGAGAGTATCATAAAACACCAGTTAATAACCACTGCTCTTTATAGAGTATATAGGAGATAATTGGCTTGTACTAAACTCGCATTATAAATGCCACGATAGAAGCCATCTATTAGTGCTACCACTGACTCATGATTCTAGAAGGAAAAAAATGAATGTTGAACAGCGTTCTCATGTGGCTCTTGACCTTACACTCCAGGGTAGGAGAAAATATGCTGACGTACAAAGCCGTACTGCCCTTGCTAATGGTGTAAAGAAATTCCTGCTGCTTTATCTGTCTCTAGCATGTAAAATTTGGGATCTAAAATTTCTTCAAATATGGAGTCAAGAAGAGGTACTAGAAAAGCAGCATGGGCTTTGACCTCAGAATCTCCAGTTTTCCACTCGAGAAACTGATACAATGTTCACTGTGAATTAACTGCAATTCCATAATTAAAGGCACTAAGGTAATGCCTTCTTATTGCCTATTCAAAGAAACAAATTCAAGTGTTGGCAATAGTGTGAGATATTAGCAATAAGAATAAAAAACTGACACAATATGCATGTTCTTTGATGTAGCAACTACCACTTTTAAAAATTTATCCTGGCCGGCAGTGATGAAGGAGGCCAGTGGGTGCGTGATGGTGGAGGGCGAGGTGGCCCTGGTGGAGGAGGCACGTGATTGCCACGGCTGTCACCTCGGAGCAGCATGCCTTCCCCCACGAGGTGCCACCCTTTGTAGTGTTTCATCTTGTCTACATGTGGGGAAGCCAGGAGTTTGAGAAACCCAAGAGGAAGAATCCAGATGCCCACGAAGATGATGACTGCCCCTGTCTCTGAAAGACCCTTCTCTGGGAGAGGAGTCTGCATTGTCTTGTCTTGAACACTCAGTAAACTTCGCATAGGCTGCACTGTGGTGATCTTACATTTTTGTAAGCAGAATCCTTAGTGTGACTGCTAACATTCAAGTCCATGCCACCCCCTTCCTCAGCCTAAGTCCCACCCAGTCCTGCCTCATCTGGCGTTTTGGCAAAGGAGCAGGGAGCAGGGCTCACCCCTTGCTCTATAATCTACAAACTGCAGCTATTCCTGCGGCTACCCACTCCTGGGGGGCATGGGCTGGAGGCAGCTGGTTCTCAGTCCTCTGCTCTCATAATAACAATACAGTCTAAACACACACACACACACACACACACACACACACTCTCTCTCTCTCTCTCTCTCTCCCTCCCTCTCCCAGCCATGCTCCCACCCCTGACACACACACCCCCTACCTCAGTGAACCAAAACGATGAAGATCTATTTCTTGCTCACACAAAGTCCATTCAGGTCCAGGGCAGTTGTGTTCCGTGGGATGACTTGGCATCACACTTCTCATCAACACAGGCTTCCAAAACTGCCAGGGAAGAAGCTATCCTGGGAGAGAGCCTCTCCCCAGCAGTGAAATACTTCTGCCCACATTCCATTCACTAAAGCAAGTCGAGGCCTTCCCTAACCTGCAACAATTGGAGACAGGTGATCCCAGCATGTGCCTAGACAACACCAAGAGCGAATGTCTACTGCAGCCATGTAGCAATTAAAAATACTAATATGAAGCTCTGTTTTTTGACATGGGCAAACTATCCATCATATATTAAGTGGAAAAAAAAGAAGTACGGTCCCATTAAAAATATATCTGTATGTGTGTGATACAAGAGGATAGAGGCATTTAAAAAATCATTGGAAAGGTATACAGTGTAAGTTTAATAGTGTTCTCTCTGGGTGGGGTAGGATTAGAGGGTTTTAAAAAATCTTGTTCTATACTTTCTAGTGGTATCTTTTCTTTTTTTAATAATAAAAATATTGTTTTGATGATGAGAGAAAAGTAAAGCTGTATCTATTTAGAAAAACATACATTAAACTACCTTTCTGGTTTCTAAATCGATCTCTTATGGGTTTAGTTGAGGAATCGGTGCTCCTGGGTCTGAACTGCCGTGTGCGTGTGCTCACAGAACCGAGCTGCCGAGGTGGAGAAGCAGAGAGCAGCCGTGGTTGTGGCTCTGTGGTCTGACAGCCCAGATATCCTCGGCTAGGCTGACTGCTGATTCAAGCAGCCTTCCGAAACTTCAGGAGAGATGCAAATACCCACCTCTGTTACACACAACACTCACGACATCCTACTACATTAAGGCGGGAGGCAGGGAAAAGGCCTGTGCTTTCAAGTCAGACAGACAGAATCCTCTTGGTTTTCTCACCTGTAAAACGGGAGAAATAATGCCTTGCAGAGGTGTTGCCGGGATTGAATAAGATAATGTGGGTATAGCATCCAGCGTACAGCAGGTGCTAAATAAATGGTTGCTACTATTATTGCCTTACGTCTACATCGAAGATGACAAAAGCTAAATTAAGCAAATATAGTAACAAGCAGGGAGTATTTTATTGTATGCATATTCTCAAAAAAAAAAAAAAAACCCCACAAAAACAGAACCCACAAATAGGAGCAAAGAACAAAGTTTTCTGGCATCTCTGGGATACACAGGGCACTGTATCTTATAGAAACATAGCTAGTACGAGAACAAAATGTACTAATTAACATTACCTTTTGCTTCCCCAGTCAAAAAAGGCTAGAGAGAAAAACACTTTACATTGTACTCTAATACAAATTTGTTGCACAATTAAACTTCAACTTACTCAAAGAGTTATTGTATTGTAAACTGCAGAAAATAAAGTAGGCATTCAATAATCTGCTCACAATTAACAATTAAGCAATAGACACTTGAATAAATATAGCATGTATTACTTATTTGTTAAACCTCACATTTATAATGAGCAGATGGTTTATCATTATAGTAACTGGTTTCTTACATTTTAAGAGACACCAGATCCAGTAACGGAAGTAGAAAGTACGTTAATGAAAACTGATTTTAGAAAAATATCTCCTTGGGTTAGAGCTACTATGGTATTTATTACATATTTGGGTCAGTTTCAACAGCTTAAAAATGTAGATACTAACAAACTGAATTATTTCGGGGAGAACAAAATGATATACTCTAGAGCAATATTTTTTGTTCATATTCTCTGGGTAGCAGGACCCAGCTAGGACATAGTAAACAGAGACTGACAATGTGATGAATAATTTGTTTCCACTAATGCTATAAGGGTATTGCTATCACTCAGACCAATAATAAAGAGCAATTTAAAAACATGTTTAAAATGAAGAATTGGCATTTCCTTATCACATAATACTAGATCTAAATATAAAGATCTTCTCTAATATTCTGTCCTCCTAACCCCTGTTATGTACAAATTAGCTTGCATATTCAGCAATGGAAAAGACCAGTAAACTGTTACTTAAAGAACTAATTTACATGACCCATTTAAGGGAAATGCAGTCAAAATAAGGCAATAACTATAATCCTATTTGTACCTTGTGTGCCTAGTCAGGAAAATTCAGAAAATAATTTTTGCCCACCTGTATAAAAAAATATTCCCCATTTGCTACCTAGATCATGACAGACAAGACAAGCCTAGCATGTGTGTCTTTAAATAGAAAAATGGTCACAGGCCAGGGTGAAGAGCAAGCTATCTTGAAACAGTCTCCTTTCCTTTCCTAAGATACCTCACTCCGATTCTTCCTTAAATATAAATTCCCTCCTTGGTTTATATTAACTTAACCCCTTAGGAGGCACTATAACAACTTTATGTTCTCTATGGAACATAGGGTTTTCCATTAAGAATTTCTTAAAATAAAAAAAAAGCGTGAAAGCTATGGAGTATTCTGAGCAGCTGTGATATTCTGTTCAGTCTACCACAGATGTTAAAAAGTCACATTTTACAGAAGTTAGAAGAAAACAAAACCATAGTTCAGCATTCTTCCATAGGGCAAGGAATCGCTCATACTCTATTTTCCTTTCGGGACTTAATAAAACCCCCAGGATAGCACCATTGCATGGGCTGAACCACTAACTGAACTGAAGTGAATACAGGAAGCTTACATTTAACATTGTGGTTGAAAAGTTGCCACCACTTAATTTTACCAAACTATGTTAGCAATATAATAGAATCTAAGAAAGTTTACCTTTTTCAGGTGATGTAACACCAAAATGATAAGAAGCAACAAAACCCTTCAGTCTTATTTCTGAAGACCAGTCAACTTTTCATGCAGATCATTCCAGAACACGATGTGCCTGACCTGCTTTCCTTTCCTTATTATCTGTGTCACACAGCTATTAAGACATCTTAGTTTAATGGCCTGTCTTAAACTTCTTAGTCCCTCTAAGATGTTCTTATAAAACAGACTCAGTCCTTTAGTTTGATCATATAGAATGACGATGTTGTCTCAACATGATCCCAAAACTGGGAGACGCAGAACTGAGATTTTAAAATCAATATCCATTAGTAAGACTAACAAAGATACTGTTGCTATTTTAATATTTGTCCTCTAAAAAAATTGGCCCTTCTCCACTCACTTCCTTAGCCCTAAAGTAATAGATAAATGTACTATTGTTAAAAAAGAAAAAAAAAAACACATAAATATTGGAATATGAAAAGATCGGCCCCCATCCCCTACCTCTTTCTCATCCTAGTACTCAGTGTCCAAAAGCTTTAGAAATGCTATTAGGAACAACTTTTGATAGTTGTTATGAAAGCAATTTACAAGGTGAAAAATACTGCACAAGACCCGACTATTATAGCTCTGGGTCACTAACTTCCTTCTCTGAAATATGAATAACACTAGTTACAACTGAAAGTCAATATAGTTAAAAAGCTATGGAGTACTTTTCTGAGGAGGATATTAATTGCCACAGTATCGCAGAGGCTCGTCTTGGAACTACAGATAGGATGCGTCAGTTAGGAGGACTGGGCTGCTCCGGGGAACAGACTGGTCATCCCCGCCACAATCACGCTGCTGGCTGGGTTTTCCATTAGTCGCTTACTAACTGCAATGAGAAAAAGTCAGGCGACTTGCGTGACTCCCATGTTAACAGCACCATAAAAAAGTTTTGTCCTCAGAGCGTGTTTGGGAGAAAAGGAAGAATGCGGACTGCCTTGGTTATTATAGAAAGTTCACAACTTACTTAAAAGCCACCGCAAAGGTTCACCCGTGGCACGCTGGGTGGGGAGGGAAACAACTGAAGTCAGCCAGACGCTAAGTGCAGATTATGGCACTACCGAAAAAGAACAGGTATCTTTAAGAAGTTGACCAGTAGCTAGGTGTGGAGGATATTCACAAACCGCCAGCACAGCAGGAGAGATGTCTGGTTGCTTAAGTTCCTACTGCCGCCCCTCAAGAAAGAGAGAACAAGTCCTCCTTCCCTCCAACCCCTGCTTCGACAGCAGAGCCGCAGGAGCCTGCGGGAGGCCCCCGGTCCGAGTGGAAGTGTGTCTGCACTTGGGCTGCTTTAAGAAAGTTCTAAGCATCAACGTTTTTGTTCAACTGTTTCCCCTCTAGAGCTCTCATTTACTAGATTATTCTTTCATTACACGTTAGCACATTACACAGGAGTTCACGAGGAAGTTTCGTGGAAGGAACTCCATTCCTCAGGGAGCCACTACAGATAGACCTTTTCCACATTAGTCCCCACGGGTAAGTTCCACAAATGCCCCAAGACACACCCTTACATTTTTTTCTTTATAAAAATGCGATTTGTTTGTAAGTGGCTACTGTCCGTTAGGAGACGGGGCCGCGGAGCTGCGTGGGAAGGGTTTCGTCTGGTGGAGCTGCTGTTTGTAAGGTGTGGACGCCGCCCAGTTCCCGGATCAATGTGGAGAAAACCCGGTGGCCAGGCTGCAGCCCACCACGGGTGTCATGTCCCATATCTACAAGGGAATAAGAGACGTGGAAAAGGCAGCGCTGAGCATGTGGTCTAACAGCAAAATCAACACTGATGAACTGCCATTAAACTTGAAAAGGTGTCAAAATAACGAATTCTCTCATTTTCTTCTTTCACTACAAAATCTCCTTAAGATTTATCTAGAGATAAAACAATGTAGTTCACCAGAATGTGAAAAAAGCTTATAAATAGTATCTGGATGCATAAAAATTACATCATAAGAATGTTTTACTATAAATTTAATTTTTTAAAAAGCCCACTGGGAATATAAAATATTTCAGTTTCCCAACTCAAGAGTGATACTAAGTATAAAACACTACTTTTGATTTCTGTGTCAGTGAGCCAGGGATTTAATTTAGCAATGAGGACGCCTTCTGCCCAGGATGAAAAGGCATGTTAGCAGGGGAAGGAAGACCTAGACACAGGTGGGCCAAGATCCAGGCCAGCTAGGGAGGAGACACCCTGAGGCCAGGTGGGCACCCACAGGGCTGCCAGGCCCTCCCCAGTTTACTGTGCCAGATTGACAGGGCAGAGGGAAATGCCACTGGGATTGACCGCCACTGAGGGTATGGAAACTCACAAGCAGGCAATTTGTCACTCAGGGTTTCAGACTGGCAATAGATTGCTTATAGAAAGGCAAGGCAAGCTTGTCAATCAGAAAGGGCTGGAAATGTCCCCAGCCCATTTGCAGCACGATGATGGGGCAATCTGAACCGAGATGCTAATCAAGACGATTACCCAGCTTACCTTTACAACACGATCGGTCCCACAGGTCACCATCAGTCCCCTGGCGACGTCCATGGACATGTGGGAAATGTTATGTTTTCCTTCGTGAAAGGTTGCTAGAGAAGTCCGACTAACAAAGGAGAGAGAGATCACTGAAAACACACCTGACTACACCTATAGCTAACGGGTAAGTTTTTTAGCCATATAAAAGAAGTAAACACTTACAAACACAGTGTTAAAATTTGCTCCCAAAAATGTGGTTATGGTTTTGAAAACTAATCTTATAACAAAAGGATGACAGAAAGCATGATAAACGGTAAGATTGTTTCATAAAAGGTTTTATGAAGCTCCCAAAATAACTGATGTTTATGTTTTTTACTGGAAAGGCTGATACATTTCTAGACATAAAAACAAGAACCTTGAACAGAAGAGGAACTGCACTGAACGAGATCACATGGCACAGGCGGATCATTCACAGATGGCTGCGGGACTCCCCGAAACCTCCCCGCCATCCCCAGGAGCAGCGCCTCTTACGGCGTTGGCTCTCACTCTGCCCTGAAGCCCAGCAGCCCCCACTCCTGGCACTAGTACCAATACCAGCGGTGATGCACTAACTTTCCAACTGCGGCCTCTGCGAGGGTTTGCCAGTCTACCACTTTAAAACATGATTCGAAGGGCAAGAAAATGGTGGTTCTGTCCTAATGGATCTGCTTGAGTCGGGGCAGAACGGGGTATACAGACAGATGCGTCTTACACAAAAAGAGCTAAGAACAGACTGCTAGGTCAGGTTTTTGTGGAAGAACAAACATCGGTCCCTAGAGTTTTTCCGGTAGTTAAATTCACACACATGTGTGAGCAAAGGTCTAGGCACTGGATGTTCCTGTGGAGAGCCAGCTCAACCACTGCCATCCACGTGCACGAGCGCTTGTCCCTGTGCAGCACCCGGGGGGACGTGGGGGCTCAGGAACGTCCACTCATTTGCTGGACTGGCCTTAGCCTTCCTCATCGTGTTCAAGAGCAATCTGTCCCAGCCAATGGAGTAGCTTGAGTTAAACACTAGCAGTCTTGAGTCATAAAGCTAGGGCAGAATCCTCTCTTTAGAAATGGTTTGAGACAAGGATGCGCAAACACTCACTCTTCGTCTTTGATGGAGTCATAACAGGAATCACAAACCCGGACTTGGAACTCGAAGCCCATGACGGGGTAACTCGAGCGCTTGCTGCTGCACTTCCCGCAGACGGCCTGGCCGCACTTCCTGCAGTGATGCTTCGGGGTGACCGGGAGGAGGAAAACAGGATTTTAGCCTTTGTCTTAACACACATGGTTTCCCTTTAGAGTAGGGGAAAAGGAGTGGGGAAGACATACCTTGAATTATAATCGCCCCAATTCAATGTATCAATTAACATGCAAAAGATAGACAATTATAACACTACTCAAGGATTTCTAAACAACTTTGCTTTACTGGTCAAATACTGCTTTTTATTCACTCATATTATCTGTCTACATGTTAACAACATTATTAAAACCAAATTCAAAATTTAGGAGCCTAACCACTGCAGATTTGGGGAAGGAAAACTGTTCCTACATCATAGAAAGCTTTAAAAATCAGTTTTAAATGTACTATGCCCTCATTAAGAAATTAATATCCGTAATCATATGTGTTCCTATTTCTTTTTTTCTTTCCTTTTTTTCATTAGAGACAGGGTCTTGCTCTGACACCCAGGAATGCAGTGGCATGATCATAATTCACTGCAGCCTCAAACTCTTGGGCTTAAGCAATCCTCCCACCTCAGCCTCTCGAGTAGCTGGAACTACAGGTACGTGCCACCTCATTCAACTAATTTTTAAAATTTTTTGTAGAGACAGGGTCTCACTATGCTGCCCAGGATGGTCTCAAACTCCTGACCCCAAACGATCCTCCTGCCTTGGCCTCCCAAAGTGCTGGGATTACAGGTGTGACCAACCATACCCAGCCATTTGCTATTTCTTTTAATCTCTCAAATTGTCATTCTGGAAATAAGCCTCAAGAACATTCCAAAATAATCCAATTATTATTACTGATTTTGACATATTATTTTGCCACTAAAAGTTTAGTGACCAGCACCTTTTCTCTCTTTTGTATTAGCTGTTAATGGATAAAAGTCAAATTCATTTTCCCACATTTCTTTTAGAGGTAGGGAATACTTTACCCATCAATTACAATGTACTAGTTACCAATAGTCATGCAGTAACAGACTTCAAAGGCTATTTCAGAGCTTTAAAACGTTATAATAGCTGAAAAAATTCCTATGTTGACAGTCTCATATTATACCCTACTGTAGACAGCTTTGTGAGTAAAATCAAAGAACCTTCATTAATACATGTAAACTTTAGGCTAATCCCCTATAGAGATGCAACCAGTAAAAAAAAAAGGAATAAAATTAACGTTCCTTTTTATTTACCTGCACAAATTCATATTCACCTTGAATGAGTGGCTACCTTCAAGGCTGCTGTAGAAATGTATTTTTTTGTAGAACTTTAGTATTATAAGAATACCTAGTGCTAAGATCATCTCGGAAATCTACAGGCTATTTGGGACATGTTTCTTTAGTTAAAAAAACTAAAAAATGGTATTTGAAATATGTTTAATAAAAACGTTCCAGGTATACTTATACTGGAACAACTCAGAATAGTTTAAAATTCATAGGATCAGAGTATTCCAGCAAAGACTAAATTGTTACTTTTTACCTGTTTGTGACAGCACAAAGTATATACTTGTATGCCCTAATTTATTCTAATTTTGTGCTTGGCTAGTATGAAACGCTGCCTTTAGTAAGCAATAGTCCTAAACGGAAAGATCTTTTATCTATTTAAAAATAGGCTCTCAGGATTTCCTATACATCCCTGCTCTTCCAATGCAGGACAAGCAATGCAACAGTGAAGTAATGGTGTTGCTGGCCCCAGCAAAGGTCTTGCTCAGCGTTAGTCACATAATGATAATGAGTTAAAAAAGTACAGGAATTAATAGCATTTGCAGGAAAAACGAGTCATTCAAAAAAAAATAAAAATAAAGACATTAATTATGTCAATAGCAAAACACACAATCAGCCCAGTAAGAATACAGTGTTGGCTACTCACCTGCCTCAGCCCCAGTGTCTTTGTGTCCCACATCTGCTTTATGTTCCAGAAAAAGGGCTGCTCACATTTCTGACAAGAATCACTTTCTAACCATTGAGGAGCCTGGGGGTAACAGAGAGTAAGAGCCAACGTCAGCGCATCTGTATGTTCACACCTACGTTTTGGAAATTAACGGTTCTAGACCTTGCTGGTGTTAGTATTTTTTTAATTCCACAATATATTCTAGCTAGCTGCCATATTCAATATTAGTTTAACTGTGTTTTGAGTAATTGTGACAATTTTATCAATGTTTACAGGGTTGTTCAATTTGTAATCTATAGATAAGACAGAGTAATTAATTTTTTATTGCAAGCTCTTAAGGGTTGTCTTTATATATTTCTTTTTATACCAAAGTTGTTTGAAATCTCCATCTAATTGAGTAAAAAGTCACTGCTTGCAGAATCTGGTGAACAGGGTCCCAGGTGACTAATAGCAGCCTAGTTGCTCTGGGTGGGCATCACGCCAGGCAGCTTTGCCACCCTTCCCCCTCTGCCTGTCCCAGCTCTCAGCAGCGGGTCCCTCCTGGGAGCCACACAGCCACCCTGCAGCCTCCACCGAGCAGTGAGCTCTGGCACTGTGAGTCTCGGTGCACATTTATTTCCCCCACTAGCCAATGAGTTATTTCTTGGTTTTATTCATCTCGACATATCCATAGCCTGTCATACAGTGGATTCCCAATACAATTTTGTTGAAACAGAAGAATCAAACTCTCAAAATTGCTTTATTAAGAATTTAGAAAATATTTCTCTAAATAATTTACAAACTGTACTCTACTGCAAGACAAATCTGTTAAAAACCTGTTTAACTCCAATCACTCAACATTATATAGGTGCAATAAAAATAGTAGAAAGTATTATTATCTATAAATTAATCCAAAGACTATGAAGAAATCATTTTTTCTGGATCTTGAAAGTTAACACTCAAGAAGACTAAATCTGATAAGAGGAGATAATGATTGTGAAGTCGTCAAGTTTCTGAATTACAATGACCCTAAGAAAATATTCTGGGAAGATGGGAAGATGGAGCTTTATAGAGAATTTAAAGGGAGTTTTGGTGGTTTGAAGGATGGGTACCCTCAGTTCTTTGCTTCCTATTGCATCCAAACTGTTGGCCTTCCTAGTTCTTATTTTAGCTGTCACTAGAAATATTTCTAACATAACAGCCATTAGAAAGGTCTTTTTTTTCCGGGGTAGGGCGACAGAAGGTACTCACAAGTAGACTGAAGTGGGCTGAGACAGAAGAGAGGTTTCTTTAAATAACTGGGGAAATGCTGGCAACGAGAAGGGAAGAAAGCATGATAAAGAGATGTGCTCCTATGTGGGGACAATTATCTCGATGTAGAATTACTTCTTTGTTTCTGTGATCAACAGAAGAGAGATGAACGCTGGTGATGTTTGGGAATATTGCCTGGGGACACTGTCCCTACGAGAGACACAGCCAACAGCGCGGGAATATTTAATTGCAGGCGGAAGGAAAGCAGGTGCAACCTCCTAGTCTTATGTTCGGGAGACACCCAAGTGTAACTCCTACCAAACCAGTAACATGGAGCAAAAAAAAATGGCACAAAAACGTATTCACTACAACCATCTCCAAACAAATCTAGGAAGGGCTGATGTGTTTTCAGGAGGACACAATGAACGCTTTAATGGACATAGAATAAATGAAAGTATGTTCCATTTTATACTTCCCATACTTAGCAGCAAGGAACGCAGTGTTCAATTTACGGTAACAAAATGTTAAGTAAAAAAAAAAAATACTGATTTGCAAACTTGCCAATTACTCCTCAGTGCTCCAGAAATTTACTTTTTTTCATACACAGTTAATATGCTGAATTTTCTATTTCTCTTGACCACACAATATCCATTAGATATTACTTTATAATAAAAACCTTAACAAAACCAACATTAGCTATCTGGAATTCAGAAGGCTGGTCTTCAACCAAAAGAGAAGAGGGATTAAACACTTCCAAACTTGGTTTAAAAAAGAAAAAGAAAAAAGAAATCCCTGAATGAAAAGTCTGCATTATTTCCCCCTTAGCCTCTCATTTATGGCATTATTGGCCTGTTTTTATCCATGAGTTTTAAAAATCTCTTTCCAGATTCACAACAGATTAAAATCTGTCCCAGAAGAGACTAAGGTGGGTAGAACTGGAGGCAAGAACATAGTTTCTGGAAAACCTTTAACTGTCAGTTCTACATGAAAGAATTATGTATGCAAATACAAAATTGTATTACCATGCAACACACAATCACTCATGGTCAGAATGGTGAAACTGCATCATCAAGAAATGAGCAAATTATACCAGATTTAGACGTTTTCACCAAAATGGTTATCTTTATAAGAGGGTGGCATTTGAAGAACTATGTTTCAATTACCTAGAGCACTCCTTTAACACAAAAGGCCTCTAACGCCAGCAATGTCAGTTAAGCAATACATCAATGGATTTCCTAACATTTTAATGTTTTCAAATGATTCAATTTCAAGGAAGGATTTTTAAAAATACATAGATAAGTCATCTTTAAATTCTTAATTCCTTTCTCATGGTCACAGCAAGTGGCTCCAATAGCCCAGGCCCAGGACCAGATCTCTTGCATTCCAATCCTGGCTCTGCATTTGCCAGCCGTGTCCTCAGGCATGTTTCTTAACTCTCTGTGCCCAGGTTTCCTCATCAGTAAGATGAGATAACAGCAGTGCACATCTCATAAGGCTGCGAGGATTAAATGAGTTAGTATTTCTGACATGTTTTGAATAGTGCCCAGTCTATAGTAAGCGCCACATAAGCTCAGGCAGTTTGACAAGTATTTTATATTCTTTGTTCCACTTAATTTTCCTCACAACCCTGAGAGATACAGAGCAACATTATCCCTATTTTACAGGCAAAGACACTGGCTCAGAGACTGAAGTGCCTGTCCGTGGTCAGTGAGTAGGATGCCCTGGCGGCCAGCCCGAGCCCCTCTGTCTGTCTACTGCGCTCCACACAGCCCCTGTAAATGGGTCCTCGTCACTTCAGCACGAGGGAGTCTCTAAGCATTGTTCTAAGGTACCGCGGCCAACACAACTGAGCTCTTGCCTCAGGGAGCATCATTATATGTTTAAGGGTTTAAGAAAGAATGTTTGCTGAGCTGAAAGGTAGAGGGGCACAAGGGAAGAAAAAATATGCTTAAAATAATTTGAGATAACAAACTAAAAATCAGAAATCAACAGGCTTTTCGGAACATACTGTAGTATAAGAAATACTCATAATTTTATTTCTCCTAATACTCAGAATTTAGTGTTATCCTATAAGCTACCATGAGCCATCCTGCTATATACTTACTATCTAAGGAAAAAAAGTTTGTGCTGAGAAGAGCAAAAGAGAATGTTAATCAAGTGTCATGATGGTTTCACTTTTCCTACATGTGTCAACCAGCAGGCTGTCGGGTTACTAAGAATAAGGCATCTTTCTGACACATTTGCCTTCCCACCTCTCCCACACACGCACTGAACTGCCCACACAGGAAGCACCTTGACTAATGGGACTATTTTTTTCCTTCCCCACACATACAAGCACACCCCACGATGATGCAACTTTGAAAGTAGGAATCCTGCTTCTACTTTCTAAGTACTTTTTCTAAAAGAATTTACCAAGGATAAGAACAGCAGGTTGAAATTCGAGTTGTGAAACCTTTGGGAGAGCCACCAGCAGTGCTGGGCCCAAGCAGTCTCCCTCTTTCATTATCCCGGGAACACATCCTGTCTCTGAGTTTTCTGCTCTCTCAGAGTAAGACTGGAAAACGACGGGCCAAGAGCCCAGGAAACAGAACAGTGTACGAGCTGTTCTTGGGGCATGTAACTAGTAGTTGATAAACAGAAAACACAGTTCAAATAAATCTTTGTAAAGAAAGTACTATACATTCTATAATAACGAGCCAGTGTTATCTATGTTTAATAATGAGTTACTCTAAGTCTTACCAAAAGATTTCTGAAAAATTCAAAAAGAAAAATTAACCAGTAGACATGTAATCAGAATTTCCTCTCTTTGGTTTGTCTGACAAGGTTATTTAAAATCCTAGCAATCAGTACATCTCTGCATTATGGAGAGCATTTTATTATTTACAGGGTGGTCTATTTCCTTCACACTAGATGATAAGCTTCTTGTGGGTAAGCATCTTTGTGTATAGAACATGGTAGCCATAAAGTAGGGAAATGAATAATGTCACTATTGTTTTTAACAGATCGATTACTTCTTCTGGGGTCTGCTAAAAAATGAGGGTTTAAGCAGTGAGAACGAGACTCACAATTAGCGGGAGACAACACCAAGTAGGCACACGTGCAGGAGTTGGTGGGAACTCTGCATTAATGCGTCATGTCCGCTGCAATAGCGCACAGCATATCAAAATGTATGTTGCTATAAAGGACAGCACACCGAACAGATTGCGTGATGTCACTCAGCACAGTGATATTACAATGCAATATCAACAAGCCATTTATTATGCACATTCACCTAAGTTTCCATACTGTGTGGTGAACCTGTAAGTACTCAACAAATATTTCTGAAGTTAAAGTATGAATCATTAACATTCCTCATACTCTTAAATCTTCTCTGGAATCAACTCTTTTGGTACTGATTTCATAGGCTGTAGATGCCACTGAGAGAAGACAGTGTGGGCTGAGACGAGTATGGAAACCTTGTCCAGAAATCATCTGACAACATCTATAAAAATCCCCAAAATGTCTATTTCCACAAATTTCTCTGAAATAAATAACTGAATAATCACACAACGACAAGGTCAAGAATATTCACTGTAACACTATTTGAAATATTTTTTAAAAAGAGATTGTTTAGACAATTAAAGTGTCCATCTAAAGAACTGAAAGAGTTCTTTAGAGGACTTAGAAGTCATTTCACTTTATGGATGAAGGAACTGACACTCAGAGAAATTAAGGCACTTACCTACACAAGGTCTCACAACTAGTTAGTGGCCCAACCAATTTAGAAATCAAGTCACCTGAGAAGAACACTATGGCAACATAGACTCAATGGGAAGTAAAAGAAAAGAAACAAATATATTTTCCCAGAAAAAATGTTAAGCACCTAGCTATGTCCCTGACGGTAGTTACTGACGCATCTTGCAGGGTTTCCTTTGCGTATAGGAATGCTACAAGAACACAATAATGTTTCGGAGGGCGTCTGCGCAGTCCAAATCCCTGGATATGGCAGAAGACTGACTTAGAGTTTCTCTCAGTGTATTTCCCAAAGTTGGGAATTGGCCTAAAGGCTGATTGTATATATTGCTTGTCACTGGTAGAAACCTTCAAGTGAGTACAGGATGCAGTGGACCTTGTCAGACAATAACCCATCAGCAGAAGAGGGAGACGCGGGGACTGCCTTCTGGTTGGCAATTTACAGACAACAGGGGGCAAGACCGAGAAGCCAGGTTCCTGGGATCTCTGCTGATCGCCCCCGCCCTGCTCTTCTTGCCTCTTACCTCTTCCCTGCTAACGTCCATGTTCCACACTGCGATTCCACCATCCGAGGAGCAGGAGACGAGCTGCCGTGTGAGCTGGAGGTAACACAGCGACTGCACCCTGTCACTGCAAACGGCACACAACAACAGTCACTTGTCTCAGTGAAGAAAAACACAGAACCTGTCTTCATTTGGGCTCAAATCTCTCCCGTCATGCAAATCAGCAGGTGGCATTTTGTCACTGACTATTTGGTATGGTAACACGGATTTTAGTATAAACTTCACTTGGCATCTTACAACTCATAATACAGAATCATACTTTCTATAAAATAAACACTACTATTATACTTCCAAGTCAGCCCTTAGGAACTGCAGGTTATCATGAATGAGATGCTACGGTGGCCAAAAAAAAAAAAAAAGAATTGCAAGTTTGAGATGGAGGACTATGGTTTTCTGGACCAATCACCATGATTCCCTTTCAGATGCACAAGATTTATCTACTTGTTCAGAAACAAAGAACAAAGGAATTGTGTCCCTTACTGGAACACAATTCACATGAACAGGTAGTCAGAAACCATGGAAATCACTAGTAGCATATACTCATGTGCATGCAGGTGCACACACACAGATGAGGTGAAGCAATGTCCCTGACTGCATGCTTGCAGCTTACCACCTCGATGCCCAAGGAAACAATCTCTTGGCCTTTTTTTTCTTTTTGAGACAGAGTCTCTCACTCTGTCGCCCAGGCTGGAGTTCAGTGGGGTCACAGCTCACTGCAACCTCAAACTCCAGGGCTCAAGTGATTCTACTGCCTCAGCCTCCTGAGTAGCTGGGACTAAAGGCACGTGCCACCACACCTGGCTAATTTTTCTATTTTTTGTAGAGACAGGGTCTTGCTATGCTGCTCAGGCTAGTCTCAGTCTCTGCCTCAGCCTCCCAAAGTGCTGGGATTACAGGTGTGAGCCACCACACCCAGACTTGGCCTATGTATTTTTATACAGGACATTCCCTTGGCTAATTTTCCACCTGACTGTGATTACAGTAAATAGCTACAGCCCAACCAACAACAAAGTAGAAGGGGAAAGGGGGAAAAGGAGGTGTTCATCTTCCTCTCAAGACTAGAAGGCAAGAGCCTGAATATTACAAGGCCATTGGTTAGGCAAATATAACTGTCAAACCAGACATTACTTCTTAATGAAATACCTTTTAGATTAAAAAAAAAAAGAAAAAGGAAGAGTTAAGCAACCATCTCAAGAAGAGCTTAATAATGCATTACAGGTGACCTTTGGTGGTCAAAATCCTCACCTGCAGTCTCTAACCCATGCCTGCCATAAGCAGATATTTCGACAGGGCGACTCCTTGGGAAAGAAAAGTGGCAAGAGCTCTTTGGACGAAGAAGGAAGAAAATCCTAGACTTTTTTCTTTTGCTATGGAACACCAGACACTCAGAACTGACAGAAAGCAGCTAAAAGCAGACTGAGCCCTATCAAATTGCCAACTTAAAAGCTGCGGTTTGGAGAAAGTGGTATCAGAATACTAATGCTGTCCCCGGGGCTCCCAGCAAACCCAGATCCTTTCCCACCCCCACGGGCAGTCACGCACTGATGGCCCTGAAGTAAGAGCGTCCGGCCTTTCCTTCCTCCGATGTCCCACATGATGATGCTGTT